GAGTTCAGCTGCGACCCCCTGCCCGTCGACACACTAGGCAAGAAACTCCAGGTCATGCCCGAGCCACTCTCAACCACCATGTCCCAAACTGCCTTCCGTCCTGCTAACGATTTTATTGTTCAATTTGATGGTTCTTTAATGGCGCCGAAGTTGCCTTTTGTTGGTCGTGAACGTCTTGTTACGTCTTCGGCACAATCAACTGTGGAATGTTCTAAATTGAGGACCTTCGCACAGCCTGTTTTGTTTGCAATTCCTTCGCAGCCTGTTGCTTTCGTCGACAGTTCTTGTGATCCTCTGCCTGGTAAAGTACTCCAGGATTCGTTTACACAATCGTCGCCTTCTGTTTCTCTTTCAACGTCTGCAGCTCAGTCGTTAGGTCGCTCTGCAAAAACCGAGCCAGAGATGTTGGAAAAAAGCGTGCTAATTTGTCCGCCCCAAATGCTCACTAAATACATACAAGCAAGTCTTTCTGACCTGAAACTATACTCAACGGAGGTTCAGAGCACGTTGCTGTTCGAGCCAGTTAGCCAAAGTCAGTCGCTCTTTAAACAAAGGGAAATTCAAGCCGACGCCGATCCCCTCGCTATTTCAATTAGCCAAACGCCTTATGTTGAAGAAGAAAGACCGTTTCCAATTATTGCTGCCCCTTCGACGTCATCGGCGTTGATTTATAGCGCGCCTCCAGTTAGTGCGACCTTGACCGAAGATAAGTCCTGCGAGCCGTTGACAATGGAACCGACATTTAACGCTAGTGTTCAAGCTGCGGAAACAGCACCAGATGCTGCTCATGTGAGTGTGCAACACGAGCCACATGTTCGGAGCGTGCGAATTCAAAAAGGAGTCGGCGCCTTTGAAGGCACGTTTAACATCGGCATTCAGCACTCCCCGCCAGAACCACTACGGACTCCACAATCTCCGAGGCAATTCAAAATTGAATGGGGAGTTCAGTGTAAACCAATGTCCATGGCTGGAATCACACAAACCACGGTACAAAGTAAGGAAGGCCTTGTGGCCTTGTCCACAACTTACACAATCAGCACCCAGACGGAGCCCGCACCGACACCCCCTGTCACTAAAATCGAGGTGATTCATAGGCCACCAGAGAAACGCAAGGAAAGTGAGACTTTGTTCTCCTTTGTCAGAGAGACGACTACACGAGTGTCGAAGGAACGCAGGGCCAAATCACAGGGTCTCATTCCGTACAAGACTCAGGTGACACCGCAACTGAAGGAGATTTCCGCTAGTGTGCCATCTATGCTGCATGTAGATCCCAGGGAGACCATTCCTACCGCTACTACGGAGCAGTACTCCTACCAGCAACAACGATCCACCTCCATAAATATCCCAAGGCGCTACGCTAGTAGACTGCGGTCTCCCTCGACAAGCGGGATGACTTACGACAGACGGAACCGCTCGATGGAGACGGTTTTGGAACAATTCCCGATGAGACGCATTTCCGGTGAAATGCCGCGACACAGTGAAAGCGATCTCTACTCTGAGAATGTCTACGTGAGGGATGTACTGAGATCCCGACAGATGAAACTTGAACGCCGCACCCAAGAGCACCTTCGGCGATGCGTGCAAGACGTCGGATTCGAGAAAGTTTCCTCGATGTTGCGCCAGATGCGAGAGGAGATTGAAGAAGAGGATGCCATCTACGAGGAGATTCAAGGCGGGTTCTTCAAGCCCTACTTCGTGGCGAGCAGGCGGTACATCGACGCTACCACACAATACGCTGCTCCTCGATATGCCTACCACTATGGCTCCAATTTAATTGACGCTGGCATTCAGGAAGGGGTCTCGCATGTCCATTGGGTACCGCTTTTGCCTGGACAGTTAGTCCATATCGAGAGCGATGAGAGTACGGAATTGGATGACATCTACGAGTGGGATCTAGACCAGTCCTCGTGGCGACCCAGGCGTAATATCTTCCGGTGGATAGCCAGAACAAACTTCGATTTTGGAGCGCAAACCGACGTAACACCAGCCGAAGAACACCATTATATCGATCGGCTGCTCAAAAGCCGGGCGCTTAGTGCCTACACTAGCGACTTCGAGATGCAACAAGCAGGACTGAAACTGAACTACCCGGAGAGTGGATCTGTGAGTGTCGTGTCGTGGAAACCGTGCCATCAGGCAGGGGAAGACCACCTGGACGTGGACACTATCGGCCGGCTGTTGAGAGTATCGCTGGTCGGCGCTCGAGTGCCCAGTACCGGTGAGGTAATCACTGCTGCTGACGCGTTTTACCGCGGAATCCTTCGAGTTGTCTATGTGGACGACAGTCGCGGCACCATCATGCCCCTGCCGACGGCAATAACGGCAAATGCCGTGATTGTTGAAAAGTTGTATCCTGGAGGCGTCGGTATCGCTTTGCATAGTACGTCACACAGGTACCCCGTGGAATGTCAGGAATTATGGAACACATCGACGCTTCGAAGAAGAACCTACAAGGTCAACTACATTCAGAAGTCGGACAACGAGCGGGTTGACGTTTCCACTGCTCTTGAAGAGGGTCTGATCGACTTTACAAGCGGCGAGTTGGTTAAATTGGTGGATCCATCGGAGGCTTCTCTCCGTCCTGATCCACTGTTGGAATCTAGGGAATCCAGTCTTGGCACCGGTGAGGCCATCCAAATGCAATCTTACCTGCAACGGTACAGCGTGCGCGAAGCCATCATCAACGACATTCTCGACGTGGAGCTCTTGGCTCCAGAAACAGTGATTTTGCCAGCTGCTGCCTTGGAACCAGAGAGCTTCAGCGACCGTGATGACGGCATGTCAACCCTCCTCTCGAATCCCGACTCCGACGCACAGTCCGACATGGAAGTGTGAAATTTCTCTCCGCTTCTCGGCTGATGTAGATCTGTCCTGCTTAGGCCTAACTTCTATTACTATCCTTTCTCGCTTATTTTGTATAATTCTCGGCACACTATGCATTAGAAAATATTTGAAAAGTCAGTATCCCTAGTCCATCAATTGGTGCAAATTAAATGTACGATGTTTGAATCCCGGGGAGAAGACACTTGACGCTCGACAACTCAGAAGACATCTACGAGGCCTTCTTCATTTAGCAGTGTGTTGACCAGTTGTAAGCAGAGACGTTTGCTTTGGAGCATTGAGCCATCACAGAAGATGGTGTCTAAGCGGCCACGAACGCCATCTGTTGGTCGGGTTAGGTCAAAACGCAGGGCTTATCATCAAACAAGAATGATGATCACAGACGTCGTCATAGTTCTTGAAAAAGCGATCACGCGGTCACGAAGCATACTTGAATACAGGATTTAATGAATCAAACCACAACCCACGCGTGTGTAGACCTGGTGAGGACTAGTTGAGAGGGTAACATGACCTCATGTGCGACAAGATTTTGCCCCTCTCCAGGACACCGTAAAGCAAACTGTTGATTGGTCGGTGAATTGCATTGGTCTAAGCATCCATCAGACAGGGATGCAAATGTACCCACCAAAGGTCAGAATGGAGAAGTTTTGGTAAACCAAAGTAAATCGAAGTTGTGTTCATACCGGTTAGAGTCCATCAACGTTCAGGCAACATCAACTTCAGAAGTCATTACTGGGACGTCTGTAAAACCCAACCCTCTCTCAACGTAGACAAGACCACCCGTGGTGAATTCAGCCTCTTGACCGTTCTTTACCGTCGACTTCCATCAAAAACAACCAGAAAGAAGAGACAACACAACCGGGAGAAGTCACAACCACTTAACGATAGGTTACAAGTCAGTGTCAATGTCCGAAATTCAACCAATAGGCTTGATGAGAGCAATTACCTTGTGACCAATGAAAGGCGTAATTGGGAGCAGATTTACCAACACAGTACAAGCTAACCAACCGGTGGAAGGCTCAGGACTTTTAGATGATCCAATCACCTATTCACTATCATTCTTGTAATTGGCAAGTTGTAAACTTACTTTGGAAATGTCGAGAAACCCAAATACCCACTTATTAAACTAGCCAATGAGAATGCGGTTTAACCCAATGCTGGAAAACAAACTTGCTAAGTAGTATGGGAGTAAAACCATCCACCTCCATAGACAAAACTGCCCTCATACTGGGCCTCTATGGCAGGTAAAGCCTATTCACCATCTCAGTGAAGACCAAAATTCATGGAAACCAACTGCGGAGAACTTGCCGAAGTATCAACCATAGTTATCAGCAAATCTGGGTCCGAAACTCAACCAATCAAAATTAGGGGAGCGAATAACTCGCGACCAATGAATTTTGTTTCAAATCACATAAATAGCTCTAACTCACTGATTTGTTCTCACATAATCCGCGTTTGTGTCTGTTCCCTTGCCTGTTGGTGATTGGTCATCTGCTCCAACGCCCTCCACCATCTATTTTATTCGTGATGGAATCACGTAAAGGACCAAATGATCATCTCGGGGCCGCGATTTGTTGAAGCCTGTCAAGTGCAACTATCCGCTTTCACCACCCAGGAGAGGTTTAGGCGGACAGACGCATCAGTCGATTGGACGAAGCGTGTGTTCGGTGTTTTGATTGGTAGAGACAGGGGTTGGCGTAGGGGATGGCGATAAGCGTGACAGTCACACACTTTTCATGCGTGCGTGAGTACTCATTACCCCGTGTGCCCACAGTCACATGCACGCACTCACGCACGCACGCACCATGCAGCATGTCCGTGCGCGAGCTAACGACTAGACTTGATTTTCTAACAATTATCGGTGGAACAAATGAGGCTGCACCCTGATTTAGATGTATCACTAAATCACTAGCTAGAAGATCTACACCGGGTGGAAGGTATCTGGCAATGAATCGGGCTCAACCGTTTTATTGTGCTGGTGAACACCACGTCCTTGTGATGTGTATTCAGGATCCTTCACAAATGCTTTTACCAGCCATGATCGTGTTGAGGTCCCCAGCATGTGATCTTTGCACCGCGCCGACGACACTAATTGGTATTTGGCTCGTTTGCTCGATTTAGGTATATAGCTAAGGCAAGTAGAAGACCACAGATGGCAGCTCAATCGATTTGTGATGTGAGTGTGCGTGCATGCGCTCGCGGCAGTATATGCCTAATGTGGGTATGGATCGATAGTGCGGATAATCTAGTTAACGTGCAAATAACCACAGCCTCAGAAGTATTCACCAGACAACGGGGGAGGTACATTCACCAGAATGTGGGAGAGCAGATGGTCATTCATGGCTGAACTGGGGTTCGGTGTGGCGCGGACTGCAACACACAGATTTATGAATGTAAATCAATACATTCAATCGATAATCCTGAATGTCTAGTAAGAGCATTCGCGAACGATCTTTAATACATCTCACGTGGGCATTGTGATAACCAACACGGACACATCGTCTCTGTGATTTAGCAAATCACCCGGGATTGTCATGAGGTTTTCTTTCACACTATTTCAAGACAACACGATCCGTGATCATGTTCCAGGAACAAAAGCTGTCGAATCTCACGATTTTGACATTAAATTTTCTAGCGCTTGACGACGGTTTTGTGATCGTACTCATGTAGTGGACTGACAGCCACGTCGCGTGAGTGTGCGTGCATGAGGGCCCGAGTGGACCAATGACTCAGCCATTTTGTTATTGGCCTCTGTCAGCAGTCGCCTGTTACGCACGCGTACTCATATGCACACGAAGCCACTTGGATGGTGTGATACTAATAAACGGCCGCTTTTGTCAAAAAGTGTTGCGGATCCTACATCAAATATATGTGGTTTCTATAAGGTTGAGACGCCTCATAAGTCGCCGACGTGTGCAAGGTTGAGCCGGGGAGGGGGCAGTCTGCTGGAAATCGACTTCACCTACAGTATTGGGATTTATTGAGAAAACATAATCTGATGTAAATTTTCTACATTGCTAAGTGGCTGAATGTGAAATCGAAATGAAGATATTGTAAAATCACCGAGCCCCAGTGTGAAGAATATTGGTAAACCCGAGCAAGCTTTATTGACCAATCACAAACCAGAACCCCGCTTCAGGTGGCATCCATCCAAGTCCTTTACGCTGGCTGAGCTGCCTATTATGTACTGCTCCTCAACAGCCCGTAGGTTGGCTGAAGATTCTCCTGGCGGGACACTTAAACGCACCAAGACAGGCTTGGCTGATCTCACTGTGATCCAATATGTCTGCGCCCTTGTACGTCGTTGCAGTATGGCGACCATGACACGTTTCGAGAAATGTGCTTGACTAAGTTCGAGTCTGTAGCTAGCAGACACCTAAAGTAGATGTGAAAAGAGTTGCAGTCAATGACATCAACGGCTATAAGTTATAGGGACTTACAAAGTTGAGGTAACCAGTTTTACCTCGTTGATGGAATCACGATGGGCCTAGTGTGATCGTCATTTTAACGAATGAAGTGGATAACATTAATACCTAGCTACCTAAGATCTACATTCCTGCTCTGTTGAATTGGGTGAATATTTCTGTCAACTATTTTCAAACCATGCTTCATTTTCCAATTGAATTTCGATTGGTTGAAAATAGCGTTTGATGTCTCAGCTTCCTGAGATTCATTTCCCCCAAGGTCATATTTTTCAAGGTTTCATTACCACTCGTTTTTACGCAGACCATTTTTGTGTTCATATCGACCGGGCTATTCCTACTGGCCGCTTCACCTTTGAGTGCACGATTACCCTGAATTGTACCCAATGCTACTAATGCCATATGTAAGGACAACTTTGACTGTGTACACCAGTAAACCGCGACACGACCAACGGTCAAGTGACTTATCAGGATGGACGACCTCAGCTGAAGGCCTCGTCGTGTGGTCTTGGATGGCCAGATGAATGAAACGGGTAGTCGAGATGGTTCGTGCACAGGGTTGTGTGAGCAGGTGGCTCCGCATGGCTGACAGACATGGTGTGATAAGAGGGTGCTGTTTTTGCAATTTACAACAACCATGAGTGACCTTGACTCGATGGACTAGCAAGGATCAACACACAAACAGCATCTCACTGTGTGAAGCAGTAGGTGGGACTAAGCACAACGTGAGAGAATGGAAGACTTGAGATGGAAAGCAACCTGGAAAGTTACCTGCCGATACAGAGACCCTACAACCCAATTCTGTTATGATGAAATTTCGAATAGTGTCAAACTAAGATGCAGAACATTAAAACAAGGCGGTAGAGAGGAATAGCATGATAAGTGTATTAGGCCCTTTCGTGTGTTGTCGTGGAAGTGATGGAGGGACCGGCAATTGTCTGAGTTCCTTCTCGAGACGTCTTTAGCGTAATTGCTTTCAGAGAAATCTTCAATGTGTCCGATAGTTGCAGGAGTTCACCAGAACACCGAAGTAGAGGAATTTATGTTTTTGAAGAAGACGGTAAAATCATGAGCATTTCTGTGATTTAACCACGACCCTGATTACTTGTAGCTGTCGCCATCTTTCAGGAGATTGTCTCATTGAACTGTCATCCACATCGCCGTCTCTGAAGATCCTTGACGTTCGGGTCCTGTTGGCAAAATCACCTCATGTTTTCCTGATTTCAAGACCCTTCTCAGCCACCTCGCGTGAGTGATGCATCTGCGGTGGCTCGATTGTACAAATGACTCACCCACTTTGTTTTGGCTCCTGTTAGCAGTCGTACTGTTACGCACGCGTACTCAAACGCAAACATCGACACCTGGCTGTTGTGACACTAATAGACGGCCGTGTCCTCTGTCTCCTCTTTTCCCACTCTCCTCGGGTTGTTACGGGCTGTTAACTTGGGCCTTGTAATGTGATGTTATACTAAGCTACTACATTTAGTGATCCCAGCAAACAAAATCACTCTATTTTTGACTCGGTTGATTAGTGATTTCTATTGAATTTTTCACAACACTCTCCTTTGCCTA